ATTGAAACACTTTTCAAAAGACAATACACCTTTGTATACATTCAAATAAGAATCATTACAAAGGTTGCCACAATGATGGCCTCTTTTCAAAACATCTTTCAAAACCACACACAAAGCACCATTTCAAACAATTGAAAAGCAAAAGCAAGTGATCTAAACAAGTAACTAAGAGCTCATGGATAACCATGGATGAAAAGGGTGCTTGCACCTTCCCTTTTCATAATCTACCCCCCGAACCCAAGAAAACATCTCAAAGGTCTTTCCTGTGCTTTTTGACCTTTCCTTTGGATAAAATAAAAAGTCGGTAGCGACTCTTGCTAAACTGAAACATTTGAGAATACAAACGCAAAATCCCAAGTCAGTTCTCCCATCGTATCACACAATTCTTTAAAGAAGGTCTCCGAATGTGTGAGTTTTCTCGAAGAAATGTGGTGAAAAAGTGTGTTGAATGTGCAGTTTTTACGCACTAAAAAATTTATAACTTGAAGATCGTGTCTTGTTTTGAACCCGTTCCGGTGGCCAAAATTTTATCTTGACGTCATCGAAGTTTTCATCTCTCACGGCTGGAAGCCAACTTTGATCGGAGGGTCTTCAAAAATGCGGATTTATCAAGTATTTTTGTACAAAAAATTTGTGACAGAAGTTTATTTGCGTCATGTTCAGAAAATCATAACTTGGTCGATTTTCATTGTATCAAGCTGGTTCCGGTGCCAAAATTTCACAAGTTGAGTTGGCTAAGTTTTCGCAGGAGGTATCGAGTTCGAACGGTATCCAAAAGGCCTTCGTTTTTTGCTCAGAGTGCGCGTGACGCACCGAAAATCCTGAATGCTGAATATTATTTCATCTGGGTCAAAACTTTAAAAATTCATAACTCGGTCAATTTTTATCGGATCGGGCCCATCTTTTTACACAAGGTCACTGACTGAGAGATATACAACTTTATTTCCAAGGTCAAGACCAGGTTCTACTCCGATCAATACTAGTTTTTTATTGAAGAACGTGTCAGAGTTGACACTGGAGCCCAAAATAAGTATGTCTGAGACAAAACTTCAAAAATTCATAACTAATTCAGCGTTTATTCGGTTGAGCCCATTTTTGTACAAGAGTTAGTTCTCGATGTCGACTACATTTTATTTTCATATTTCAACTTTAAAAGTTGCACTTAAGCCCCTGTGATTTAGCCTGGAACGTGACAGACTCAAGTGAATAAAAATTTGCACTATTGCTTGTGGTTATTAGAGGCCCAATTGCACATTCAAAGCCAATTTCTTTGCTCTAATTTATATTATATAACCTCATTCTTTTCACACAAACAGGACGAGAAAAAAAACCTTTACCACAACCCTGTCAAAATATCATATTTCTTCAAGAACCCTAAAAACCTTAAAATCCTCGTTACAAACCCACATCTCACTACTTTCACTACTTCTCCAGTAAAGGTAAGACTGGATTGATCTCCATGATCCAAAGGGTGTAGAAACATTCATACATGCCATATCGGTTTTAACATTATAAAATTCCATATATTTATTTTCTTTGTATTTCATGGTATACTAATTTGTTTAATGTGTTCATGAGATTCAACACTATAGGTTTGGATCATCTAATGGTCCCATGCAGGTTTATTACAGAACGCTGAGGCCAAAATACTAAAACAGAACAATAGCCAATGCATGACTCATGGCAAGGCAGGCATCCTGAGAAGGTTAAGGGTATGGGTTCAACACCCACCCCTATTGGTTTTGGTTTTCTTCCTTTCTATTTATCCTTTTTACCTATTTTCCTTCTTTCTGTTTAAAACCTTTTTCATAAAACTTAACATTTTTCACAAACTTTTTATTTATAATAAACTCGAATAATTAATTTTAGGTTTTTTTAAATTTAATTTTAGGTTTTTAAATTAATTTTTGGTTCAACACTCACCCCTGACATTTGCATTATTTGTATTTTCCAACCCTATTTTTTATTGATGTTTCTTCCCCTATCTATTTTTTGGCAAACTTAATTCTTTCTTGTTAATCATTACACATAAACTTTTTTTAAAAACTTTTTTTAATTAAAATTAATTAGTTTTTAGGTATTTTTAATTAATTAACCTTTTTTTTCTTCAAAATTAACCTTTTTTTTAATTAAAATTAATTAGGTTTTAGGTTTTTTTATTAAACTTTTTTTTCTTCAAAATTAACCTTTTTTTTATTATTAATTAAAACTAATTAGGATTTAGGTATTTTAATTAACTTTTTTCAAAATTAACATTTTTTTTATTAATTAAAATTAATTAAGTTTTTTAGGTTTATTTAATTAATTATCATAAATCATTTTTTTCATAAAAAATCACCAAAATATTTTATTTGCTATTTTCATCTTATTTTTATTTTTCTAGATAAAGTGTATAGGACGCATTCAACTGTAATAGCGTAGCTTTATTTTTCCCGCATTTTTTCATCATTATCATGTAATTGCTCCCGAGATGTAATAGTTTTAGGATTTCTTTTCCGCACTCTTCACTATTATGTAACTGCCCCAAAGCTCTGTAATAATTTAGGTTTACATTTCCGCCTTTACCTTCTGCTACTATATTTTATGCAATGCTTAGATTAATTGGATTGTATGGAAAGATAAAAATGAACGATAAAAAACCCTAATTTCAAGATAAATATAATTGGAAAAAAACATTGTTGCACACTTACACCCCTAGGGTACTCCTCACTTGGTTGCCTCGGAAAACAATGGTCATGTCCCTCGAACGTAGGGATATCTTAGCAAAAGAACCTCAATCTAAAAGTCATCATAAAGATTATAGTCCCTTAACGTCCCTCGAGTTGCCTACGAGAAATGATCTTGTCCCTCGATGTTGCCTATATGATGACAGTCCCTTCGAACTGCTAAGGTATCCCTATATGTTGCCTTCTATGACCATAACGATGACACGCGTCTGTCCTTCATACATCCAACGATAGGGCTACCTACTCACTAATAGTAGGATAACACTATCTAAAGGACAGGGAAAAAGAACGACCTTTTTCGAGTAGGTAGAAACTCTTAAGTACTTGCTCAAAACAATAAAAAAATCTTTTACACAAACACTTTCAAAACAGTTTTCAAAGTCGGTGGCGACTCTTGCTTACCGCAACATTTGTGAATAAAAAACACAAACCAGTATTAACAGTCGGTTCTGTCACCGTATCACAATAACGCTTCACCTTTGCAGTTTAGGTGCTTATGGGCCTTTTAACCCTTTTGGACTTCTCACCTCTCTTGGGCCCAATCCATTCACCATGAACCCTTCTCTGACCGACTGCACTTACGAAACCTTGGTCAACTACTTGTGAAATCATCCATGGTCGACATGCTTATGTAGTCGACTCCTCATAATTTAATGCTCTTAAAAGGACCTTTTTGACTTTTTGTTTAGATTTCTCTCTTTATGGAAATCCTAGCCAACACCATCATAAAACTAGGTGTGGATGTTCAACTTGCCTTAATGTTTCACCTGACCAGCTTGGAATCCAATTCCCTGCATGTTTTACTTCCTTATCTAACCTAAGTCTAGATCTATGCATTATCATATGTTTCTATTAATCAACCTTTTCTCTTAAGTTAGAATTCTTATTCATGAGGTAGTTTCTCATACATTCACACATAATTAATATTGGTTTATCTTTGGCAATCAATATAGTGCTATTAAATGCCTCAGATACATTATTCATAAGTACATCATATTTGGGATAAAAAGTGAAAGCATACTTACACCATGCTTTGGTAGATATGTTTGACAACCACTCTCAAACTTTCATATTAATCTCCTTCAATTCTTTCATCTTTAACATCCCAGACTTGGATATTTGTGGCCTTTGCAGCTGCCATCATCAAGCCTCTGATTTGAGTACCCCCACCAAACTTCTTTTTGAAATTGGCATATAAATGCCTAAAACAAAGTCTATGATCTACCCTCTTAAACATCTCTTGAAACACGTGAATCAAACCCTGCAAACCAATTTCACATAAACAATATAAAGAGATATCAATGATAAAGAGCTTAATATAAATCAGGGATGAATTACAAAAATTAAAAACATTTTAAGGGATGAAATGCAAAATTGCAAAACAGAATTAGGGATGAGATCTAAAATGGTTAATAAGTGTGAAAGTAAATTTTGTTGATCAGAAATGAAAATCCATTTTTTTCATGACCAATGTCCTCCAAAAGCAAGGTAATAAACCACTTATATGACTCCTTTGTATCCGTTTCACATACGCCAAAAGCTAATGGGTAGTATTGGTCATTTGAATCTCTACTAACAACAATAAGAAGAGTCCATCCATATTTAGTCTTAAGATGATATCCATCAACTCTAATAATAGACCTGTAAGATATTATGAATCCATTCTCAAGCCCATCAAAGCAAAAGTAAAAACAGCTAAACCTTAGTTGTATTGTTGCTCCTACCCTTGCCATATTAGTTTTATAAGTATTCCAAGAATTGACTCTCCTTAAATCTGCAGAGTATCTCCATAAAAGGTTGTATTATTTCACAACATCACCTTAAATTAAAGCTTTTGCAACTTGTTTGGCCTTCCATGCCCTGCTCATAGTTATGTGAACAGAAAAGTTACTCCTAATCTAAAAAACAGTATCTCGAATATTAACACCATCAGAAGATGACATTCTAGCTGCCACACTTTTAACTATCCACTTTGAATTGGTTGAACTGTTATTCAATACCTTGCCACACGTGTGAGTTCCAAACCATTTCTTTATCCTATACATGTTTTTATTCCCAACTTTATTTACTAGTGTCAGAAACCCACATTTGCCTTTGCAAATTACCCTTACTCTAACTTTGTCATTTCACGTACTTTATCTCTCTCCCATTAAGCACCGACCATTCAGTAATGGTCTCTTTAAATTCATTCAGCGATACAAACTCCAATCACACTCTGAACTAGTAATTTTTGTCCAACTCCTCCATCTTAAATCTTGGAAATTTTGGATCCTTCTATTCATCAGAAGCACCAGGGTCACTGCCGCCAAGCTCTTCACTAGCATAATTGACGTCCATCTCATTATCTACACCACTAGATGAACCTGCATTATCAACAACAGTTGGAAGTTTCTTTGGAGTGATCTTGTGCTTCTTTGCTTTAACTTTTACCCCACCACTTACGCCCCGGTCTTTAAAGCAATTATCCAACTTAGCAGCCCTCTCATCCTCACTATCATCAAATAATAAACCATCAACTTCAAAGTCACTATCCTCACTACTGCCACTATCCTTATTTTCATCTCTTGAACATCACCCACATCCTCTGTATTAACATCACCTACATCATTTGTATGAACATCAACTACTTCATCTTCTTGAACATTTCCTACACCATCTTCTTGAACATCACATACGTCATCTTCTTGAACATCACCTTTATGCTCAACATATATGTGCATTGTACTTTTCATTTCTATGACATATTGATAGACCTTTTAAGTATCACTATCACTAACCATTCTATTATACCTGTCAACATCGTTGTTATACCACCATAACCATTATTCTAAATGTTCAAGCTTAGTCATCTTTTTCACAATACCCGTTGCTTCAAATAAACTCCACATGTTCGAATCAATTTCTACTTCATGCTCATGTCCCCCGTGTAATATGCTATGCAGTCCCTAAAAAAACTACCCATGTAATGAAAAATCAAATTGAAATTCATCACTTACTGAATCGTTCCTGATCTGATGAAGTTGCATTACTTGGTCGGGCAATAGAGCTTCTCGATCACTGTCTTCGTTCATCGCCTCCCTCCCACGATGTCATAATTTTTTTCTCCCAATAGACACAATCCTAATTTATAGAGACTAAAAGGAAAAGACTATTTCTAAACAAAATTGGAAATTTTGGTGGGAACATTTTAAAGACCACGTGTGTAATTTATTATACAAAAGAAAATATAAATTAATTTCCACATCAACGACGTTTGACATCTCAACATTTTTTAAGAGACTTCTAATGTTAAGGACTAACATAATCAATAGTGAGATATATAAGTTGAGATAAAAAAATTTAGAGATCAAATTCAAAAACTCACTAACTTACATGGACTAAAGTGCTCTAGTTATTTTAAAATGAATGTTGGTTAAGGTTTTTACACATAAATTAAAGAATACAATTATATTTTCATAAGAAATTATATTTTTATAAAATTGACCTTATAAAAAGTAGTGTCCACAATAAAAAAAAATTAAAAAAAAAATTATTAGTATATTAAAAAATAAAAATAACAATTATTTTAAAATAAATTTTATTTAGTAAAACGATAGTGAAAACAGAGCGACAACTATTTAAACATTTAAAGAAAAAATTCCAAAAAGGGACACTAGTACTTTAGTTTAGAATAACTCCCATTCTTACACACTTTTACTTTATCACTTTGAGTGAGAAAGAAACCAAAATTCAGTTTTCGCTTGCTTATGACTCACCTGGTCGGTCGTACTCAACTCGCTCGACTCGCTCCTTTCATTCATCGCTCCAATTCATCTCTCAGAACAACCATCTCCCATCCCCAAACTGTCATCTTAGCCCAATTCTCAATCTCAACCGATCTCAAACTCCGCCGAAAACACTCGCCGGCAATGGATGCACAACCACCGGAATCCCACACTCCCGCCGTTGAGGGAGAAGAGTTCGTTCACGTCCACGATCTGAAAATGGAGAGCTTGTCTGATAGCATGGTTCGAATTGATCATTCCTCTGAAGCCGTCGATGCAGCTTCGTCCGCTCCTGAAGAAGCACCGGTGGATGTAGATCGCACCCCGGTTGCGCTTCCGGAGGAGCTCTCGAGAAATGTGATCATGTTGTCGTGTGAGTCCTCCGCTGAGGGCGGTGTTTGTGATGTTTACTTGGTCGGTACCGCTCATGTCTCGGAGGTAAATTGGTGCATTTTTTATTTATTTTTGTTGCATTGTGAATTTTCAGTGTATATATTCATAACAAAGAATTAGGGGTTTTTCTCTTCTTTTTTCATCAGGCATTTTGTTTCTATTCATTTCAATTTTAATTGGTTTTGTGTTTTTATCCGTTCATTTCATTTCAATTAGAATTGCCTTTTGTTTTTGTAAAATGCATGGTTCTAAATTGCGGTGCTAGCTGCTGTTAAATTGCAAATAAATTATGAAACACGTACACCAGACACACGATAACTACATTGACAAGTTGACACCGATAATAATTTGAAAAAAATGAATAAATTAAGGTTATGTTTGAATATTTTAAAATGAATGGAATTGAATGAAGCGGAATAAATCAGAGCAGACTACAGGTTCCATTTCATCGTTTGGATATTTTAATACGGAACAAAGTCATGCTATCATTCCGCCCGGTATGAAAATGCTGGTAAGTGATGGAATGAGAAGAAATGCATTCCATTTTGTTCCACTCCACTTGTGGAACATAAACTTATTTCATTCAATTCCGTTCCATTTCATCATATTCCATCAATCCAAACATAGCCTAAACGTAACCACAAATGTCATTATCGGTTTCAGACAATGACACAAACACCTTTTTTCTAGAGGTGTCGGTTGCAAACCATGATACTGCAGCAAAATGTAGACATAGTTGAATTGGGGTGGACTGATTGAGTTAAAGCTTGAACATTTTTGTTGAACTATGTTGCAGGAATCAAGCAGAGAAGTTCAAGCTATTGTCAATTTACTGAAACCAGAGGTGTTGTTTTTCTTTTGAACTCCATTAAACTCTAGGCTGAGCTGCCTGATTTTTATTTCACGCAGTTTCCCTTTCTTTTCTCTGTTCATTTTTAATGACGAAACCATATGGTTGATCTATGTTTTCTGCAGGCTGTCTTCCTAGAACTGTGCTCGAGTCGTGTGTCAATTCTTACCCTTCAAAATCTTAAGGTCTCTACTTTTTAACTTGGTGTTTTACAATGAGCAAGGTTGGCAATGCACTATATGATACCCTCTTTGTAATGTGAATTTTTGTGGGTCCTGCAAAAAATTGAGACCTTATTTGTGTGTGTTTAGTTGTGACGTGACCAAAATTGGTTTTGGTTAAAACTAACTTGAATGACAAGTGATTAATGATATCACCCAAATCTGACAAGCAAATTTTGCTTTTTCAATCACTTTTGTTTCACAAAAGTGAATACCAACATGTAATATACGGGGCACACGAATTTTCAATATTTTGGAAAAAATATGTCAAATAGTTTATAGCTAGAATCTTAGGTGTACTTGGTTTGGGCCTAAGCCCAACAAATGTCTCAAATAGTGGAATGGGTTATATTTGTTGATATGGTCAATTGGTTAGAGGGGAATGATAGTTATACAAAGGATAGGGATAGCAAGAGTGAAGGATTGAGAATTATTCAGTTAGGAACTGTATTGGTTTGGGCAGAGAGATAATTGTCTCTTCTCTGAGGAGCTTGGCTTTGGGGTAGTTGGGAATTCTTTTCCTTCTACAATTTTATTTTCTCTGTCAATCAAATACATTACATTTTCCGTTGTTTTTCCTCCTGCTTACTTAATTTCTGATTTTGAACTGCCGGATAACTACCGAAATCTTCCGGATAACTTCCAGATAACTGCTGAAAACTACTGGAAACTGTCGGATAACTGCTTGAAACTATCAGATAACTATCGGAAATTTCCGGATAAATGTCGGAAACCGCTGAAAACTGCCTGATAACTTATGGAGAGCCAGCAATGGAAGACGTTTGGACTATGAAGAGGGAATTACCAGATTTTATGGGGACAGATCCCGTTGGTTGGATCTCAGTGACTGAAAGTTCTTTTAGAAGAACAAAATTCATTATGAGGATAAGTTACAATGGGCATTCATGAGCATGGAAGATGAAGGAGCGAAGCTATGGTTTTAATATTGGTGTGAAGAGAATCCAGATGCTGACTGGAATTCATTTTCTATGGCTATGATTAGATGATTTGGAGCACAAATGGTGCAAAATCAAGAATCAAAGCCGAATCTGTGATAGGTGACAGATATATACACTGAGCCAAAGTTAGAGGAGATAAACTTCAGAAATATACACTGAGCCAAAGTTAGAGGAGATGAACTTCAGTGTTGAACGAGAAGCAAAATGTTATTCAAAAGTAGAATCCGACTCCAAAGAGATTGTTGATCCAGTGATAGAAACGGATTACAGAAAACGAGGAACAGAAGCAATGTTTGACAGAAGAATGAATGAGATGCAAAGAAGAAAGGAGCAGGTGTTTGTTTTTGAGCCACCTGTCGCCGGAGCCACCGGACGCCAACCTTCAGGTGGTGGCAAACGAGATTCAAATAATCCAAGCGGTTGTTGTCAAACTCCGACCCCCACAGGAACCGCCAAACGTGGATTCACATATATGGATCTCTTCGAGTTCCGATCTGCAAGGAAGGAAAGAGAAGGCGCTTGTTCTCAAACCACCGCCTGAGCCCGCAGATGCCGCTCTCTTTGCGGTGGACGTGGAAATCAAGCACATCGACTATGTGACAAATCGAAAGAATAGAATTGCTCAGATTCCGGCGGCTCCCTCACCACCTATATAACCGCCGGACATGGGTGCATGTGTTGTGGTAATAGATTGAACTCGCATGTGTCCACATCAGAAAAGCAAGTTCTGAGAGGTCTGGTCATGATCCCACCACCACCAGAACCACCATACACAGGTTCAGGAGGTGTGAATCCTCCACAGTCTCCGACAACCAACTTCTTTGCGGCAAGGAAGAATTCCATACCAGTTGAGCATGTGCACGCCGATCAGTGGTTGTTGTTGCTGTTTGGGATGTTTGGGACCTTCTGGAAGATGAAGGGGCAGAATGGAGCAACCAACTATTACACACTTTCCAAATTTCTAGACAATCAAGTAACGACCCAGCTGTCTCTCACTTATCACAAAAGTAGTCCTCTCACCCTTTAGAGATGATACTAAAATGTGAGGTGCAAGTTAAGCCTTGTTATATAATAAGTGCAATACGTGTGCTTCAATTTAATTGGTTAACCCCTTCCCTCCTATTGTCTGCATCACATGATGAGAGAATCAAAGTTTGGTCAAAGTTCTACCTTCAACTAATGTGGCAGTGGCTTTTTCATGCACGTCCCAAACACTTTTATTTTCTAATCCATTTATCCCATACCGTTGGTTCCATGGCCCAACTAAATTCTTCCTTCAAAATGGAACATTTATGTGCCACATTAAAACACCAAACTTCAGCGTACTAAACAGAAGAAGCCAGATCAAAACTATTGGATGATGAGTTTGGATCCAAACAAGTTTGTGTGTGTAGTATGTAAAAATTCAGAAGTCTTACCATTGGTTTACAGAATTTTGTCATGTATGAGACCTATTTTTAATAAATCTGTAGAGAAAACTGAAAGTTTGGCATGGGGGCCATTAGATTCGGCAACTAAGTCACTCAAGAATGCGGTGAATGCAAT